CGCCGCTGTTTTCATCCCCAGCTGGTTTCCGACGGACACCTAGGGAAGATGGGGGGAGAGAGAGAGAGAGAAAGAGAGAGCACGACAGGTGAGGTTTCTCCGCCCTCAGTCGGTGGAAGTCCCAGATCTCTATGGAAGCTTCTGCAACATGCAAAGGTGTTCGGTTGCGCTGTGCATCTTCTAATCTGCTTTCGATCTGCAGGTTGGGCAAAACTGTCCAGGTGGCTTGAGCTGAATGGTCTCAAAACTTGTGAGGAAACTTTTGGAATCCTTCTTCAGGCTCCCCATCCTAGAGCCGTCCAGATATCTGGACTTCCCCAGCTGCCCTGGGTGGCTAAGGATTATGGGTGCTGAAATCTAGCCCATCTGGAGGGCTACAAGTTGGAGGCAGCTGAGCTGAAAATATGGAGTTGGGGGACAGCCATGTGTCTGGTTAAGATAAGTCCACCTCCATCCTTTCCCAAGAGTTTTACAACTGTTCAGGAGACCATCTAATGACACCTCCCCACCCAGGTGGTTAGAGGGGATGAAATTCAGAGGCCCCAAGGCCCCCAGCTGCTCTTCCAGTCTTCTGTCCCCGCGGGGTTGAACTTAATCCTTGCAAGGGTGGCTCCTCCAATGGAAAAGGTGATTTTCAGCTCCTAGGACAGCACAGGGGAGAAGGAAACTCATCCTTTATGCCACCCACCTCCCCAAGAAAGGGGCAGCTGCTGTCTCACCAGGTTCTGGGCAAACTGCTGAGCATCCTCCAGGGTGTGTTTCAGGGCAGCACTGCCAAATTTTACATCCAGCACCAGGGCAGAGAGGTTCTCCACCACCTTCTTACTCAGGATGGAACCTGAGGGCCAAGAAAGGAGCAGCTGAGTCTGTGGGGCAGGACTCAGGGAAGCCTGCAAGGAGGCTTCATCTCCAGTGGAGACGTCCAGCCACCATCGCAGGTTTCATGACACGCTCCCACAATCTAGAAAGCCCAAAGGGTAAGTGCTGCTGCCTTCTCAGAGAAACTGTGCAGGAGCTCAGCACCAGCTCTGAGACAGGCCAGCGTTGAGCACCTACTTATCATGAGGGGCAGGCTGTCCACCGTGGCCGTGACGTCTCTCAGGGCATAGAGGACTTTGTCGGCCGGGACCAGCTCTTTGCTCTGTTCCACAATGCAGCAGCCGACTTGTTCCAGGATCTGTTTCATCTGCGGGGGAACAAAGCACGTTGTTTGGGGTCTCTTCCAAGAAGCAAGATTCTTGCCTGGCACTTCCTTCGTTGCCCCGGCAAGCCTTGAGTTGGAAGAACCTCAGCTCAAGTTCTCACAATGCCCTAAACCGCAAACACACCAACCCCCTTTGAATCTAATCTCAGTGAACCCTATTTGTGGTGTATTTACACAACACCCTTAACCAAGTCAGTTGTCGATCTAGTAGCTGAAAGGGAACAGCATGCAAAGCTTGGTTAGTCTGAACCTGGCTTTGCTGTTTTGATGGCTTAGTGTGGTATCTGAGCCCAGATGTTAGTTGAAGGTTCCGTGCAAAGCCATAAAAGGGGTTAATTCAGTGACCTGGACGAGCCTGTGGTGAGAATGCAGCCAGAAGACAACAACGAGAACAAAATCCATTTTCTGCCAGTCATCACACCAAGCAAAGCCCCACCTTCAGCTCCAGAAGCAAAGCTTTGGGACATGCCCAGTCACCCCCCCCAACTCTGGTCACTCCTGTCCCACAGCATCTGCCTTGGCACCAGCCAGGGTGCCCCTGGAGCCCAGGTTCAGCTGCAAGAGAAGGGAGAGCCAAGGACTGGCTGGCCCAGAGAGCACTTGGTCCTCGTGGCCCAGGAAGACTCCTTCAAGTGTAGGTGCCGAGGCATGAGCGCGCTCGCTCCCTACACCTTCAACTCAGATAACAGGGAAAGGCCTTGCCCCTTTGGACCCTCCGTCTGGATGGGAGGAGAGCGCCACAAGCCTGCATATGCTGTGGGACTTCTTCCCCATGTGGGCTTCTCACCTGCTCTGGGCTCTGGGAAACCCTGAAGCCTGGCACAGACTCCAGCTTGTCCAGCGTGCCCCCTGTGTGGGCCAGGCCCCGGCCACTGATCATGGGCACCTGCTCAGAAGAAAGAGATACCAAAGATTAGCTGGGGGCAGGGGCGGGGGGTGGAGGAGGCAAAAATGCCTCTGGAAGCGGCTCTTTAGAAGAACCAGCATTGCGCACTGTTCCTGGACGGAGGAAGCCCTCCACCCAAGTCCCCGGGTGTTCAAGTTGCCGACCTTCATTCTGTTCATCTGAGAAGCCCAAAGAGGGAGGTTTAAGCTCCAGTCCTCAGCTCAAATCCTAAATACCAGATTTAACACCCCCCCCCCCGCAAATTCTGCAGCATTTATCTCCCTTCTTGGGGTTTTTCTCATTTCAAATCATGCCTGGATAAAGCCACAAGAAGGCAGCCAAGACTTTAGAGATTTTCAGGGCTGCTCCCCTGGCACTGAGCCATGGTTCTTCTGGGCTACCTTGGCCAGGGATAATGGGAGTTGTAGTTCAGTTGGTCTGGAGAAGCACGGGCTCAGGGAAGACTGTTCTCTAGCCCAACAAGCCCTCTTTATTGAACTGGGTCTCCCTTGAAACCTCTTCCTCTCACTGGTCTGGGAAGTGTCTGTCTTTCCCTCCTGCCTGCAAACAGCTGGGATTTGTAGTCTTTTTAGCAAACCCCCCCTCAAGCACGCCCTCTCATAGAGAGGCAGCGATTTTGGCTTTCTCGCCAGGGCAGACACTGTTCAGGACCCACTTTGCTTTTCCTCGTGTGGTTTCCGATCCACTGCAGGAAATTTTGCAAGCTCCAGACCCATCCTGCATCCGACCATCACGGGGAGTCTGGTTGCCCCTTTTTGGGCTCCCAGATTTTCTGCAGAGGCGTCCACTGCCGGGAGCTGCCTCGGATGCATGGAGGGGTAAAGTTATATACAATTGGCATCCGAGGAAGCAACGTGCAGGTTGGGACAGTGGATGCCAGCCATAAAATTTGGGAGTCCGAAAAGGGACAGCCGGACTCCTGACTTTTTTGCCTGGGTGGACTAACCAGGCTCTGCTCCTACAGCGCCTGGCATCCAAGACCAGTGCTTCTCAACCTTGGCCACTTGAAGACGTGTGGACTTCAACTCCCAGAATTCCCTAGCCAGCACAGCTGGCTGGGGA